CTCCTGTACTTTCTGTACCAATCCTCCCAATTTCTCCGGATGTAATTGGGACTTATTTTTCATCTGTTCAATTTTGCTGATGCTAAGTGGGTCCCAGATATTGATTCTGAAGAAAGGACCGGGGACCAAGGACAATGTAGACACAGGACTAAATTACAGAAAACTGCCAAATCCAGCCCCATGACTGAGTCCTTGGCCTTGGGTGGTGAGAATCAATTGGGGCTTGGGAAGACTCAGTTAGTGCTAACTGGAGATGTTTCTGGGACAGACGATATTGCTCCTTCAAAGAAGGGCTATCGCTAGCTGCACTCCTCAAAGGACGCGGAGTATATGAAGGTGTGTCTGCAATTGCTTTGATCAATACATTGCTTTCTATGAAAACTCCCTTCGCAGCACAAAGGGCACGAGGTCTCAAGTTTCTGGAGATTCATGGATCGATATGACTAGTGGGATAAATTTGGGAAAGGTGTAGTTGACGCAGAGGGGTTCCTTGTCTTTGCTGCAATGTGCTCGATTAGCATGAAATTTTATGTACTTTTTTGAAGTTGTTTTGTACAAAACTCGATGTCTTTTGATATTATCCCTCCAACCTCCATCAGCAAGATCGCTCTTTTCACCCCTGTAATAAAAGCTCTATACTCGGGAAAAACACTTTCATGACTCATTATGCACTCTCCAATGGAGAAAAAATAAAAAAGAAATGAGACTTTGATGCACATATATAAAGCCAATTTAGCGTCATCATCAACCTCACCTCCTGCATTACCAGCTAAAGTACAGACTGTGACTTACTTGTTGTAATGACTGTACCTCGTCGAATGAAACAGGGGAGTTACTCATTCAGCCAGCCTTTGTATAAAAAATGTCACTAAATTGTTTAAAAATGGTTGCCCAAACGTGTTGCATCGGCAAAAAATTAACCTGAGCTCGAATAAAGATGAGTGATTCACTTACTCCGACCCTAATTATGCCTTGCAAAGTATCCGAGGCTCCATCTCACAGCTGTCGGACCAACAGGCTGGACCTCAACCATGTCATGGCTCAGAGAGAACTCACCTAAAGGGTCGATTCAGGCTCGATCCAGGGCAAATTGCTTAACCCGACTCTTATCAACATTTGAACACCGATCGTATTTCACTTGTTATCCAACAATCATGAAAGTCATAGCTATCTTACTCCAAGCGAGTGTTACCGATATACCTTGGATGCTAAAGACACATGATTTGAAAACGATGATGAGAAGTTTGTAGCGAAGAAAGGAACGAGCGACTGTAACTGTAACGTTCCAGAAAGCGAAATCTCGCTTCAATAACCGTAAGGTCACGGTCTCCGATTCTCCTGGCTCGATAGCAACCTTCTCGAAACCCCTTAACTGCCGAATGGGCTGCTCCGCAACGGAAGGGTAGGTCATGTACAACTGGGCAATTTCCGTCCCCGCAACAGTCCCTGTGTTAGTGATAGTAAAAGTGACGGTAGCTGCTTCGTCCCAGAGATCTGCACGTCCACCGACAGCGTGAGCGCCTGTGAAAAAACCGGGAGCCAAGTCGCTCTGTTTTTGAACAGAGAATTCGCCGTACGCGAAAGTGGTGTACGAAAGTCCATACCCAAACTCGTAGCGAGGAGAAATGTTCTGCGCGTCAAATCATTTGTAGTCGATTAGGTTCCCTTCCGTGAAATGACAAGTGGCAGTATGGCAGATAGCGAATTGCGAAAGATCGGACTCATTTTTCGCGATGGTGTAAGGTAAACGACCGGAGGGGTTAACCCGACCATAGAGGACGTCGACGATGGAGTTTCCGGACTGTTGTCCGAGCATACCTACAACAACAGTTAGCGGGGAGATACGTACACTTTGTTGCAGCATAACTACCTGCATAGAGCACGGCGGTGACATTCTCGTGGTCGATCCATGCATCTAGAATACGGGGTCCGACAGTGTTCACAACCACCTGTGAGCAAGCATAATCAGCAATATGAAGTTCCCAGTTAAAACGTTCAAAACTAACGATCGTGTTGTTACAGTTAGCCGCCACAGTAGCGACCAGTTCGTCCTGCTCATCGTTTCTCAGCTCCGACCTGTCTGCACCTTCACCGGACCAAGCATTAATGAACACAATTGACACTTCTGCCTGTCCCGCATAGGAAGCATACGTTATCGGCGCAACAGTACTGGACGTATAAAAGGCAAAGCTGCCAACACCACCGTTGATTTCCTCACTCGTCCAGGTGTTGTTCATAATCCAAAACAGCATTATCCCATTCTTTTCAGCAACATTCGTCAGGACGTGATGGGGTGTGATGATATACGACATTGAGCCGGTTCCGGATCCCCCAGCCGCAGCGAGATGTCCTTGGTAGGTGTCGTTGCTTCCGAGGACTGAGAATTGGAAATTTGGTCCACCTAAAGCTGAACCTGCGTGGGCTCCGAAAAGGACCATGGTGGAGGTATCATCTCCCAGAGGGAGAACGCCGTTGTTCTTGAGAAGAACGATCGATTTGGCGGCAGCGTCACGGATGATTGCACTGTACTCGAACTGTTGAAAACCATGATGACAGATTCAATTATACAGCCAGATGCTTACCTGTGATTTGCTCGAACGTTGGAATATGCCGTGAAACTGACATATGTAGGCGTTCCGGAATTCTGACCGTGTTTGTACCAGGCCATGATGCCTCGAACGGCCATGTCATCTAGACGAGCTTGGCTTATAGAGCCGTTGTTGATTCCGGCGAGGATCGTGTCGTTGGACCAATAGGTAGTAGCGCTGTAATCCATTCCGCTAATGGCAGCGTTATAGCTCTGTGTGAGAATTATCAATCATCCTCTTTGTAGAAGCGAACGGATATCATACAGTTTGTTAAGCACCGACATCTCCGAGTACGAAGCCAGGAATCCTGTGGGTCATTTCGTCAAAAAGAATAAGAGGCAACCAAAGGTGATTAGCCCGCACCAATCTCGGTCTTCAGATAGTTGTTCATGAGCTCCGCATTCTCACACGAACGAGTTCCATTAAAGGCGTTCATGGCACACCTAGGGGTGTATGTAAGGGCCAGGATTGCGGTAATAGCACGGTTTACGAAGGCGACTCACATAGCTCCTCCCAAACCATTTTTTACTCCGTCGTACCAGGGGCGCAGGTATGTCTCGTGGAAGGCTTTATCGTCTACCACCACTTTATACGAGCCGGTCAAAGGGGTATTGGGGACAAATGTGGTTACACCACCAGTACGATTGGTCTCTTGCTCGTAAAGTATGATGTGCTAAACAAACAATAGGCGGTATTCAACACAAATCACAATCGAACAGGTTATAGAACAACTCACCTGGCCTATTGTAATGGAACCCGAAGATGAAATTCCAGCAACCATCCGTCCAAAGCCAGCTCCATTCAGATAAGCGTCCGGTCCTAAAGATTTGTCATTACGACCTGCGATAATCAGTCAATAACTGACGGGATCCAGAGAACAGAAACCAGCTTACCTCCCCAAGGGCTTCTTCCCATCGGAGTAGTAACCGGACCGTTGAGCGCGTTGAGACCTAAGTTGTAGTGCTCAGAGCCAATGGCATGGCCGACATTGTAGATAAGGTCCTTGTCCCAGGTCTGAAAATCATAATCAATCATCGGTGAATCCGTAGCGACAGACGATAATACGATTGAACACACCATAGCGAGAGCCTCAGATCCAGGAAAAGTAGACACGAAATAATAGGTATTAGGAGCCACGGTACTATCCAGGATGTTCAAAGCAGTAAATTTGTCAGGAATATCTTGTCTGGTAATCAACAAGACTTTTTCCTCGTTGGTCAGTGTTGAAACGAAGGCTGAAGCTTGATTATACGCGTCTTGCCATTCTCCGAGATCGACTGTTAAAAAGTTTCGATTAGCACATAGCGGCGATACGCGAAAGAAGAATGTATCTCACGGTATCCCGAAGATAATATGGCGGTCTCGTTGTACGAGGGAGTGCTACGCAGGGAAGGAGCGGATGGTGGAAAGAAGGAAGGCGAATCCAACGTTTGGTCGGTAGAGTCAGATGGAGCTGCCGTAGCTCCCAGAACCAGGAGAATGAGAAATGCCGTCTGCAGCATGAGGTTTGGAGGTAAGGGAACGACGGCTGAAAAAAAATGCGACGCGCGCAAAATATACGCTGGTATAGAGCCTGATCCGCTCACAGTCAGCCAGGAACGCTCTCGGATACTTGATATCAAGATTCGCATCATATCAACATTGGGCTGAACGCAACATATCGGGGTTCAGCGGGATCATAGAGGGAGAGAAATGAAAGCGAATGGGCAGAAAAAAGTGGCTGCTAGAGCGTGAACATTGGCCTTGCGGTGCTCCAGACAAAACCAGGAATAAAGTCCACCATGAGAAGAAAAAATGGAAGATCGAGTATGGCGAAAAGCCAATTAACGACAGAGTAGAAGAATGACCCGGTTCCTGGCCGGAAGACGGATAGCGAGGGCGGGGAACAACGCACTCAGAATCTTTCGGCTTTGGATGCAGACGGATGCAATCCAGTTCCACTACGCTCGGAAAGGGAACTCCATCAAGAGCCTGACGATGTACAAAGGCATTAAGAAAAATACACAGAGGTCATACCACAGAAACGTACAATCTCTCAGGTGAGTCGGAAAAACCAGTGACGAGCGAGCAGAGAAGCGATAGGACAAGGTAATCTGCCGCCATAGCCCTTGAACCTTGGCTCATCCATCTGATTCAGAATCGGCAAGTCTGCAGCCCATCTGTGTTCAAGCTTTGTTCCTGATGAGTGACCGTCGAGAGTCAACCGCTGGGCACATAGCACAGCACCCAGAAAATCCGTTGGAAAACATTCCCACGCCATCTCAACGGTCGTAATACTGCACACAAATTTCACTATGTGTCCCTCAGCTACTCAACGAGAGGAATAACCGTCCTGCTGCTCGCACAACTTGCCGCTTGTTAGAAAATTTAACGAGTGAAAATTGGTCAGTGATTCAATCTGAACCAATGTCGAGCAGCATGGCGCAGTGGTAGCGCGCGGGGCCCATATGAGATATTTGACCCCGAGGTCACTCGATCGAAACGAGTTGCTGCTATGTTGTACCTTTTGGTCCATGGACTATTTTTCCGAGCATTTTATTTTTAATCTTTTAGTACATCCGTTTTCGTTTTCGTTTTCGTTTCTTCACCACCCCATCGTCGCACCTGCTACGGGAACAGTTACTATCAACGATAAGGTACCCGGCCAGGGGTAGGTACTCGGCCATTCATCGTATATCAATTTCCACAGACCTCAGGATGGTTTGGGAGATGTTCAATACTGTAGAGTAACGTGGAATAAATGTTCTGTTCAGAACTACTTTGGGGGCCGAGGGCGAGTGGGTGGGAGTGATGGCGGATCAGGTACCACCCGGAAATGTCCGAAAAACGTGGTTTTCTAAGGCCATTTCTGGATGTCGAGTCCTCCGTTGGCGTTTCCCCCACCATATTGCTTCGGCGATCGCGGTTTTGATTCTCTATCATCCCCTCGCATATATTCCAGGCCTATTTGACATATCTACTCTTTTGATTTGCACTCAGTATACAATATTCTGCGCAACACTTCAAGAGTTCACACCCTCTTACACGCGAGAAGTCTCAATCCGGTTCTCAATGATGCGCTGGCCAAATGCCAAAAAATCAGCAACACTAATAGTTTGGATCTATCCCTTGCATTTGGCACTTCCCTTGTGTTTTTATAATTTTTTTTGCATGCTTGTCGGTCATAGCAAAATGGGCTCAGTGCGGGAGAAAGGATATTGGGTGACTTTGGATCACTAGAAAGGCCTCTGGTACGTCTCTAATTCATCTCAATCTCTAAACTCATTTGTTCTAAAGGATCTTTGTATGCTCTCTATTATTGCCAGGTCATTTCGTGATGCATTGACTTCGCTAGCTTTTGGTAGACACTTTGCCGACAGTTTGCTTTCTCTTCAAGATTCTTCTGGGCTCAACTCACTCTTCCTAATACCTTACGCCTTCTCAATCCTCAATGTGACCTTCTGTCGGCCTTCTGTCAACATCGAATGGAGGAATGGCCCCGTCGGTCTTGAGTGTATTTTGTGGAGATTTTAGAAGTAATAAGTTAGCTCTTTGTCATTCATACTATTTTTTAGCTTTCTATCTTATTATTATATGTCATTTCAAATCATCTAGCGCTATTTCATTGTCTTACAAGTCCTGCTCATCGCTATGAATGACGTCCAGCAGCCAAATTGGAATAATTCCCACGGTGGCCGGGTACAGTCCAAATGCCGATTTTAGACCCGTCTCCGGAAAATATTCACCGCGCTATCGTTTCATGCTTTAAAAATCTGCAAAAGAGCTCAAATTACAGGAAAGAAGCTATTGCACCCAGAAGCGCTGTTGCTACATTGATAACCGGGCGTGGCTAGTGCAATTAGCCAAATACCCTTAGGTGGCCGGATAGTCTATCGTTGATAGTACCATTTCGTGCTGCAGCTTTAAATTTATAAATATAATACATATACATCGGACGCCCCGTCCCCTCAATTGCACGTCCCATTATAGGTGGCTCGGGTAGTTGACACAAATGAGCCCTGAAATGTGGCGGAACTTGACCTCTCATCCTCTGTGAGCACGTCTTCCAGCTTAAGGGGCCCTACAGAGTCAAAAATCACTCAGTAACAGACATCTTCGCAACGGGAATGTTCCTTTACTCACATTTGAAATGTTTGTCCTTCTTATCGCCTCCCTTTTCTGCTACTTTGTCTTCGTATTCGAATAACACGTATCCGTTGGCAATCAAGCGCATTTCACCTGTGCCTTGGAGGGTGCAGTGTTTAACGGTCGTCTACGGATTATTGGGTTGGGTTTAGGGATATCCCATCAGTTAGAATATACGAAACAGATCGCAAAACTTACCTTAGCATCACATTTTTTTCCATCGAAAACGCTCATCATGAGCGTCACAGTGGCCATTTCGTTGTACGTGGACGTGAAACTGTGAAAGGAAATATAGGAATTAATAAAGAGATGCGGACTATACGACGAATACTAGAAAAGAAACACTATGCACACAACATACATACCTTTTCGTTAGGGAATTAGTGATGGACGTATCTGTAGTGAAAGCTTCGTTGCCACTGGCGACCTCTGGAAAGTCGAGCGTGGCCATGAACAGTTTGTTTACTCCAATAGTAGCAGACTCTAAGGATAACCGATTGGATATAAGAAAAATACATCATCGCTAGGTGTCAGTGACGTACGACTAATAGTCGCCTGCAGAGAAGCAGTGGAACCTTGTGTGGTCGAGAGCCAGAGCGTACCGTTAGTGTTGGTGAGATTCCCTCCAGCGGGCATCTGGTTGGTCTGGCAGCTAGGCTGACCTAGATAGGAGCCCGAAAATCAGAGAAAGGGTTGAATGAAAATGTCGTCGAAAGAATTACCAGTAAACCTGACTTTGATATGCTCTGATGCGATACAGACCTGCGCCGGAAACTCATTTTCCTAAGGTTTTAAAAAAAAAAGGGGGGAGGAGGAAGTTGAGAAATCTCGTCCTTCGTCAATCCAGGGGCAGAAAAAAAAAACACGCACACGTTCATCGTTGGTAACAACGTTACGATCCCCTTTACCCCACCTCTCGTTAGCCGTAGCTTCGAGCTTTGACCAGCCAGGAACTGCACGAAGAGATATGAATTTTCATGAGAGAAATCTCGCATGGACTGTCAGGTTAACCGAATACGCACGTCGTTTCACATCTTCGACGGTTAAATTCACGCAACTTGCGGCATTTGCATCGGATCTTTGATAATGTACGACATGGCGCGCATGGAGATGTGGAACGGACGGCAATCTGGATGGAGGCTCCACAGGCACAGGGAAGGGTATCGCTGAGACGGTTCTGAGAAGGAAGAATGCAAGGCCAGCGGCCTGGTGTGGTAAACTTTTGAGTGAGTTTCGTATCAATCGGTAGGGTGGCGTGGAACGCACTAGCAGGGTTGCCGAGCTCTTGAGATTAGTCATTTATGAACGTTTGAAGACGAAAAAAGGAGGAGTAGGAGGCTCTACCCGCGAGCTGTTAGAATTCTCTACCAGAGAGAAAAGCGAATTTTCAAACATTTGGTCGCGCGAGCTTATATGGTACAGTTTACCCCGCATATGCTGATTATCCGATTATATTTACCCCGGAATATCCCATTGGGATCACGATTTGTCTGCGAAGCTGTGTAGGCGAAATGTACCTCCCCAGTGCCCAGGAGGACTATTTTGTTCTGAAAATTCGCAACCAGCAACTCTTCTACATTCCAGCGTCTTCCTACCTTCCAGTACTTGGGATGTACATATCTTCGCTGAGATCTTTCGATCGAAGACTTTGCCTCTACATTGGACCGGATTTGTGAGGCTATGTATATCCGCAAAGTCTCGATCATGAGACTGCATGCAAATTGCCGTATGATCGCCTGCCAAGTTACAGTCACTAGAGCAGTTGGCCAAGGTCATAATCAAAAATACTGCACGAGTCTGTCATTGAAATCAGCAGGTCAAAGCAGCGAAATTACCTCTTCCCCGAAACGTTACATGGTCCCAAGATCCGTGCGTCAGTCTTTACTTTCACCCGAACTATAAGTATATTTAAATTATGTGGAGTTATCGAATTCTAAAGAGGGTATACCAGCACGAATTTTCGAATGATGCTCGACCGTCCAAAATCGAGCTACCACCTAATGGCTCCGTTGCGAAGGTGTTCCAAATTCTCACCACACCTTGTAAATATGAGAGTTTCGAACCTTTTCAAAGGAAGATGATGTTGACAACCTGAAGGTTGGCGATGAAGACGCGACGACCCAACGTGTTTGTTCTTCACACGCACAGGCCATGTCACGTTTCCTGTTTCCCTTTCGAGACGACGCGTTTTTCGGCCGACCAACATTCTACTGTTCAACTGGTCATGAAATTCTGTCTTCGTCGACCTTCTATGACCGATTTCGCCTCCCAGTCCACGTAAACTTGCAGTTCTGCATGACCCTACACAGATCTGGTCGTCTTCATTCACTTCGATATGAAATGCGAAGCATCCGTATAACTGCACAGTCATGGCTGATAAGTCAAGAATGCGCCAGGCTCGGACACTGATATATTAATGTAAGGCTGTATCTTTGCCTGGCCGAACTTTCTTTGGATGCTTCTACCGTTGAACTGCCACGACAGGTGATGGTGCATCTTACTGCATCGCTCGAGATGCTCCACTGATACTAGGACCCGGACTGATAGTGATATACGATTGGATTTGGGACCATCTGCCAGAGTGTGCCACACTATCTACGACAACCGAAATTGAGCACTTACGTTCATAATGGATATCGACCTATATCGACCCAGAGGTTACCGGCAGGCATAGATCATTTGCGTTCAAATGAAATGCATTATCAGCTCAATTGCACGCTTTCATGTCGAGCAGTTGCAATTTGGCATTCAATCTGGCCGCGAAATTACAGGAAGCGAGCCTATCGAAATCTCCGCATTGCCGATGAACAGGCCCTGCTCTCCTGGCTCTCACAGGGTATGTACTTAGTGTGGGCTTCGGTATTCTGTGGTAATGTGTCCGTGTTCTGATCAATGTTCGCGTCTATACAGAGAACTAGGACCTTTTCCACGACGCTCAAATCTAAGTACCATTATCCGGCGCTCTCTTCAAATTGTTCAATCTTTCCTTCGACGATACCGCACCCAAAACGGGTTTAATATCCAATATTTCCGAAATGCAATGCAATGGTTTTGAGCATTTTGGGAACAGAAATGATATCACCATCACAATACGAAATTATGTACGTATCAACAAGGTTCAGATTTGACAGGGAAGAGTCCTCGACATCATGCCTCTTCAACTCCGCTGAGCTGCTATGTCTGGTCAATCTAGGTCTACCCAGCTCTCGACGCTGCAAAGCAAAGACCGAATAATCATTTTTCGAAAGCTGAGACGTGTTAGACGAACGGCATCAGAGCTATAACGAGATCCGAATCCGCCTGCTCTTCGGCAAGATTCAGAACAACAGATTCATTCAAGCCGATTGCGGTCTCAAAGCTTGTTTTTTTT